GATACTTGCAGGACCCAGTTCATATGATTTTCAGGCAACAACATTTACAGGAATCTTAAAATTTCATCCATCCATCCACTTTATCCAACACAGGAATGCTGGGGAGCTGTAGCCTATCCCAGCAAGCATCAAGCGCAAGGAGGGATGGATACACCATGGATGTGACGCCAGTCCATCACAACCAGGGCCAGTTTTCCCAGAAGCCAGTTAACCTACCAGTAAACCTTTGGACTGGGAGTGGAAAGCTGTGTAAACACAGGAAGAACGAGCAAACTCCACACAGAAAGCACACCAGGAATTGGACCCAGGGCCCCAGCACTGAGAGGCGGCAATGCTAACCTGTATGCCACTGTGCCACCCCATCTTAAAAGTCTAAATTCCAAAAAAAGCAGAATATGTAAGCAGGACATTGCCTTTTAATCTGCTAGTGGCAGCTATGTCAACAAGCAGGTAATAATGGAGGCGAAAGCCAGACATAAGAGGGCTATCTTGACATTAGATCTGAAAGGGGAGTGGAGAGAATCCTTTCAAACAGAGGTGTGATTGTTGCTAAACAAGCAGCAGATTTTAAATACAAAACACAGCACCTTTGCTGTGCTCCTGGCCTACCAGAGATGTCTTTTCTGTCTAAAAGCAAGCATTTAACGAAGTGGTAATTCATGACCAATGATCTGCACCCAAGGATAATAACGTGTCAGTCACTCAGCAATACCTTGGCTGTAAGCCAGACCTTCCCTTACAGTAAAAGGACAGTAACAGCCCCTCGCGGCTTCGTCACACAGATGCAGCTCACCTGAATTATGCACTGTGACTGTCCACAGACAATAATATATTACAATTGCATACAATAATTAGGGCTTCTGTTCTTCCGTGTTTCACGGTGTATTAGGAAGCCAGTGTTTATTTTTAAGTGTTTTCTGTGTTCTATTTGTCAGTGGGTTTCAGTGCTTTCACCTTTAATGGGCCATAAGAAGTTTTTCTTTGCATGCATATGCATATAAGAAATAAGTTTGACATAGCGTTGTTTCCTAGTTTAGTCATTAGAAATAATCTCAGACGACATGCAATGAAACATTATTGTAAGAATCCAGTTGCTCAGCACGATTATTATTTACATCTGGCTGAGAATTTTAGATTTTATGCAAAGTGACTTACGTTTGCACCCATGTATTCAGCTGCGAAAAATACTGGAGTAATCGGAGTCAAGTACCGCGCTGAAGGGTGGAACAGCTGTTTCTTCTAATTATGAGTCTATATCCTCTCACCCCTGCTCCACACTGCTGTCATATGGGAGTCTGGAAGTCATCATAACATCTTTACCCTGTTGTTTTCCTGAAATAATTGTGCACAGTGTGCTCACACTTGTCTGGTGTTTTCACAGTTTCTCTTCTTCCATAGATTCCACAGTGTATTTCCTATTTTCCTGACCTAAGAGTGTGTGCATGCCAGGAGACATACTGTATATATGTATAACTTGAATAAGGGAATTTAAAAAGCTCTTCCACTTTTAAATGGATAAACTCCGATTTCATGTTTCCACATTGGGATTTTTAAAATAAAAAAATAGTCACCCTAATCTTAATAATAAATGGTATGGGCTTAAGCAGGAGGTTATTTTATTCCAGAGTGCTCCATATCTTAGGTTTGCATGTCTAACACAAAGTGTAGTTTACAGATCAGAGGTATGAAAAAAAAACACCCAAGGTAATGGTGCTTGCTCAAGCACAGACTAAGGTCTTCGGTTGCAGGTTCGGGGCTGGGTCATGTTACTAGCCCACTGTGACTGGGATTTCCCAAGGGGTGGCGCCGAGAGCTGGGTGGGATTAATCAGCGCTTGGAAACGGTGACCCCCTGTGGCCTCACTGCTGCTTGCAGGCCTGAGGTGTTGTTGGTGAGGGCCATGTCTCTCCTCCAATCGGTGCTGAGCGTCTGGCATGGGGCTGCATTGCCTGTGATGAGTTTAATGGGGAATGGCTGGAAGGTGGGCGGGTCTACCCACTGTACACTTCCTCATTGGCCCATGTGAGAGGTTGCAGGCTTCACAACTGTAAGCTGAGCTGTGTGAAACACACAACCAATGATTCTGACTCGGGACGTTCTAAGAAATCAGAAGTGTCTCGAAGCTTATAGAAAAAGAGCAGGGCAACAAACTTGCAAATCTAATCAAAGGTTGATTTCCAAATTTTCCCCGCAGTTGTCAATAACCCCCAGACAAACTAGATGGGCTAAAAGGCCTCTCCTCATTTATCATCATCATGATTATTTTCTTATGTTCTGTAGATGGGTGGAGGTGCATATATTCCTCCTTTTGTTGCATATATTCCCATGTTCTCACTGTACATGCTTGTGCAGTATATTGTAATCTTGTTTTTACACATGTAAGCTTACTATAAAAGCATAGCTTCAGGTACTACACTGAGTTCTGGCAACATTTGATTGATATTTGAGCAGGCTGGCTGAAGATACAGTAGGTGTGTTTCCCATTTCGCTCAAGTAACTGGTTTCCCCTTCATCAGTAGGCTGACTGAGCCCGTCAATTAACTTGGCACCAGTACAAAAGAGGAGCTGAGGCTGCAGTGTATTAATGAATGAGTGGCACAGTGAAGCAGTGTTTAGCATTGCTGCCTCCCAGCTCTGGGGTCCTGGGTTCAATTCCTGGGGTGCTGTCTGTGTGAAGTTTGTACTGTATGTTTTCTCCATGTTCAGGTTTCCTCCCACAGCTGTACTGTACTTGTAGGTTAATTGGCCTCTGGGAGGACTGGCCCTGGTGTGAGTGTCTGTGTGCCTGTGCGTCTGCCCTGAGATAGACCAGTGTCCTGTCCAGGGTACAGTGTATTCTGCCCGTTGCTTGCTGGGATTACTCCCGCTCCCCCGCAAACCTGAATCGGGTGGAGCAGTTAGAAAATGGATGGATGGACGATTAAGGAAATTCTTATGGAGTACAGGTTTAAATAATCCAAAATAATTTGTTCCAGGCTCAGTTGAGACACAGAGTAAGTCCTTCTTCAGATGGACAGAAAAAAACGTGACCCAGGGTTACATTTCCTCACAGTCTTGCTCATTTGGTAGGAGCCTATGGATCCCAAAACCTCATTCATCTTCTTGACAAGATCTTAGAGCATAGGCGTCTGCAAGCTGGATGGGCACCCATAGACCTCCGTGCATTTCTCTTTTAATTTCCACATGTTCCACAGATTGACCAGGAATACATCTGTACAGTAGGTCAGCGGCTGACCCAGGGTTTGAGCCAGGAACTTCCCAGTTGCTTCACCTTAACGGCTGGGCCTGCACCTATCTTCAGCGAAAGTGGCACCACAGAGTGAAACTGGAGCCCTAGGCTGAGATTCCCCGACATGCATAATTGCTGTTAGAGGCTCTGAAGCATGATAAGAAAGACTGGACAAAAAGGGTAGTCTTGTAATTCATTAGTAAGCAGACCTCTAAAAAGTGCTCCGCTAATCTGTACGGTCAGGTCAAGTAGAGTACATTCAGCACTTCTTGTGATCGGCAGTGATTTGGGTAGAGATGCGTAACAGGAGTCTGTTTCCTTGGTAACACAGGGTCGTGGGGGAGTGGGGGGGGGGCTGACGTGATGGAATGGCTACAGAGGCTATGCAGGCAGTTGCCATGCCAACACGGCACCGCGGCACGCAGCTGCCTGTGTGTGAGAGAGGAAAGTTGGGCGGGAAGGGGGGGAGGCTGTATCCGATAGCAGATTATTTTGCAGTGGTTCTTCAGCGCACAGCTGCAGCAGCCAATAAAAGGAAAGGCTGCACCCTGCACTCCTGCCCGCTCTCCACTGCGAGCTCGGAGCTAATCAGGGTAAACAGATGTTATTGCTCTTATTTATGCTTACGCTCAAAGGTTTTTCACATTAATTACCCAGAACCCTGCGCTGTATCGACACCTAGACTTGCCAGTCGATAGCGCTGCATTTTTATTTTTTGGGGGAGGGATGAAAGGCGCATTCCTTTTTGACTACACTCCTGTGTTTCCAGGGGGTTGCCCTTAAAATGAAACACGAATCATATCTATGTCAAGCACCTCGGAAATGTGCCTGTTCTACATTCACCTGTTAGCGTCTGAGCACTGACTAAGGTTGTCTGTACATGATGGGCTAGCGCCTACAGTGGGGGATTACAAGACAGGACAGCTCTTAAACACATACAGTACTGTACAATAGGGACTCCTGCCTTCAGTGCCATTCATGCAAATCACAGTTTGGATAGACAGGGCTTGTGCCAGAAACTTCAAATAAAACTGAACAAAATCAGGGGATCTGTGGATGACCAGTTTAGTTCTTCTGATTGCCTTTCTGAGCCCGTTATTTTAGATTTAGAATTGCTAGCTCAAGTCAGGGCTGTGTCACTTGCTGACTGTAACGAGGATGCTCCAAACTATGGCATGTAGTAGATCACACCGAAGCAGACAGAGTTCTGTGGACTTGACAAGACCAGTCTTACAAAACCCCTGTTACCGTCTGAGTATATATATACATGTAAACAGCTAGCAGTGGAAGGGTCACTGTGGGACGAATTTCAAACCCACTCTTGATGGGGGAACAGACGCAGCTGTGCTCAAACTCTTCACCCCTCTCACTGTGATAAGACCCGTCGAGCAGTCAACTAAATTCCAAATCAGAGTGCATGTGAAAGTCTGCACGGAATGCACTCCGGGCCACTTTGATTTGCTGTTTTCACAGAGCTAAATGCCGTGGGCGTGTTTGTTTCTGTGTGTGCCCTGCGAAGGACTGGCGTCCCGTCCCGTCCAGGGTGTCCCCTGCCTTGTGCCCGTTGCTGGTCAGGTTAGGCTCCAGTTCCCCCACAGCACTGAATTGGAAGACTTGGTTAGAAAACGGTTGAATGGTTGAATCTATCAAATTCAGTCCTCTACATTGTTCTGTTTTCTAAAACCACTGGTGTAATATCTCAGACAGCTAGCTGTTCCCTGAGCTTCGTTACCGACTCTCGTCTTGCCCCTCTGTCTCTCTGTCTTTCCAGATATCCGCGACCGGAGGAAGAAGCCTGTGATGCTGTTCATTCACGGAGGCTCCTACATGGAGGGGACGGGCAACATGTTCGATGCCAGCGTGCTGGCTGCCTACGGCAACGTCATCGTGGTCACCATGAACTACCGCCTGGGCGTGCTGGGTGAGTGGGGGTTTCGGCTCGGTTTGGAGACGCTCCGCGGTCGACCTCTTCTGTCTGATGCTTAGCTGCTTGCCTGAGATTCATGCCTTTATATTGTGACGTCCAGGCTCGATTACGGCAGCTCGGTGCTTTATGGGCTCCCTCACACTCTCCTCAGAAAACTACAATATGTACAAAACAGCTCGCCTTCTAACTCATACCAGACCCTGGCAGCAGATCACTCCTACACTTATCTCTACATCTACTGTCATGTACTCAATACAAGATCTTGTTACTGGCTTGAAAGGCTCTGAATAATCTGGCCCCATCACACATCTCTGAAGTCCTTTGTGTTTACACTCCCTCCTGTAGGCTCTACTGAGTCCAGGCTGGTCCTTTGCTTGCAGTACCCGGACTAAATTTCGCACCTATTTCTGTTGCTGCACCATGGTTATGAAGTGCCCTTCCTCTAAACCTTCGAGAGGCGGATTCTCTGACTCTTTTCAAACCTAAACTTAAAACTCACCTTTTTACTTGGGCCTATGTCTGATCACCTTACAGTATATGCTTATCACCATGAGCAGTGGAAGTTATTATCGGTGTGCCAATCTGTGGGTCACGATGCAGGCAGATATAAACAGCTCATTATTGCCATGTACATCATTAACAGTCAGCACTCAGAAGAGAAAATAAAATATGGGAAAGGCACTCTGAGTGTGACCAGGCAGGTGGACGTCACTCGAGAGAGGGGAGCTGATAGCTAAACATCAGGCTTCTAGTTTTTGATGTTTAAATATGTTAATTACTAAACAGGATTTGATGCTTTTAAAGCCTTTATCAAACTGCTGATAGTTCTTTCTACTTTGTCACCGGGGGCCCAGATCTGAGAGATGACATTGATCACTTTTTCTTTAGTTATCACTCCAGCCTTCTGCCTACCTGATCGAACCTCCAGCATACTGTATATTGTGTCTTTTCTTTTTTGTTTTGTTGTTACTGGTAGGTCACTGCTCACTGCCGATTGAACAAGTGATCTGCTGGCCCTTAATTCAGAACAGAAGATCCAGCATTTCAAATTTTAATGATTCAGAAAGCGGCCATACCCAGAACGCACTGAATGCGTCTCTGTTAATACAAAGCAGAAATTGCTTATAGAGTATTAATTTCCATTGAATATATATGAAAATTATGTAGGGGGTGGCACTGTGGTGCAGTGGTTAACATTTCTGCCTCAATGTGCTGGGGCCCTGGGTTCAAATCTGGCCCTGGGGTGCTGTCTGTGTGGCGTTTGTTTGTTCTCCCTATGTTTTTGGGGGTTAGCATTGTTGCTTTGCAGCGCTGGCGCCCTGGGTTCAGTTCCAGACCTGGGGTGCTGTCTGTGTGGAGTTTGTATGTTCTCCCCGTGTCTGTGTGGGTTTCCTCTGTGCGCTTCGGTTTCCTCCCACAATCCAAAGACATGCTGGCGGGCTAATTAGCCTCTGTAGAATCGGCCCTGGTGGCGGTGTGTCTGTCTGTGCCCTGCGACCGACTGGCATCCAGGGAAGGGTGTACCCTGCCTTGCGCTCATGGCTCTGCTGGCCTGCGACCCTGAACTTGATAAGAAAACAGATGGATCCTGTCCTTGCTGTACGCTATTGCTTGTGTATTGACGCAGTCAGAGAGTATCTGTTCTATAGCGGAGCTAGTTTGGATACGGTGACGTCATCGCCCTCACTGCGCATAGCAGGGACCTCGGCTGCCTGGTCTGAGGGAGGTCTCCTTTAGCTCAAGCGGCCGGTTCCCTGTTGCGTTACGCCGGAGTTCCGCGCTCCAGGTGCTGCAGGACGAAATGGGTGGCGGAGGGCACGAGCCCGCGTGGAACCGCGACGGTCACACTTCTTCATCACCCGGCGAGCTGTTTCAGTGTAGAAGGGGCTTCTCCCTTCACTTCTGTGTCTTTAGTTTCCTCTGGCCCCGCTCTCTGCTTCTGTCCTGTGAGGGCCGGGAAACAGTAAACCTTTTCCATTGTGTTTATACCCCTAATACTCTGGAAAGCCGCTTGAAAAAAATCCAAAGGATGTGTTTGTGATACGAGATAAAATTCTGAAAAAAAGATATACTTTTGAGTCAGCTGTTGAATTTCAGGGAAGTACAATAACAAGAGGGAACCTCAGTGTGCATCCAGATCCTACTTTTCTAAACTTTGTCCTCTAGAGCACACTTCCCCACAGAAAACGTACACACTTTAAATTGGATCCCCCAAATGTTAGATCTGTTAATGATAAAACACCTCATAATGCGATACTGAAAGGGTTCCTACAGGGGAAGCACTGACTCTTCAGGGACTTTTTCCAAATGTTACAAGTGATCTGTTTAGCCACAGTCCAGCCTGGTGTCTGGGTTAATTGGTGTCTCTAAATTACCCTGTGAAGGTGCATTCAGAGTGTAGTCCTTCCTGTGCCCTGTTCCTGCTGAGCTTTAATGGTTTGTTTATGCCTTCTCTTCTAACATTCAATGTCAAGTAGATTTTAATTTTCACTTGCGAGCAACGGGGAAGCATGGAGGCGCAATGTTCAGCATTACTGCCTTCCAGTGCTGGGGCCCTAGGTTCGATTCTGGACCTGGGGTGCTGTCTGTTTGGAGTCTGCACGTTCTCCCTGCATGCGCAAGGCAAGGACATTATGGAAGGTTAATTAATTTAGGCTTTATTGCCCCATTGGGGAAATTGTTTTTACAGCACACTCCCAAGGTATCAACACAATGGCAGACACATTTTTACCGACCAAGAAGTCAGTGAAACAGTGTTACAATTGGCTTCTGGGAAAAATTGGCCCTGGTGTGAGTGTGCATCTGTGTGTGGCCTGCGATAGACTGGTGTCTCGTCCAGGGTCACTTGTACCCTGCCTTGTGCTAGGTGCTTCCAGGGACAGGCCCTGGCTCTCACACGAACCAGCAAACTGAAACAGGCACAGCAATACTGAACATTTTCATTCCGCAAGAGTTGGAGCAGCTTCTCTCTATGTGATCTTTGCCTCACTCAGGTGTCGTGGTGTCGTGGGCTGTTCATGGGTGTGCCAGACACGGCCATGCACACCTTCCATTCCCCCTCATTTTCTCCATGCGCCACTGTTGAAATGTCTTCAAGCATGAGCTTGATGGCAATATACAATATGACTTTGCATTTTGCTTTTAATGTCCTGAGCATTCTTAAATGAGGTGTTTGGTTTTTGTGTTCTCCTTAATTTCTGAAAGTGCTGAAGTTTTTATTATTTTCCTAGTTGCATATTTATCATAGAGCCATCTATGGACTGAAAGCCCCTTTACTTAATCCTCCTAATGTATTGTTTGTCCTTTAATTCATACGTACAGTACACACGGGTAAGGTCCGGTTTTGCTGAAATTGATCCCAGAGTCCTCATCAGCTTAAATCCTTTGGCTGGTTTTTCATTCACAACAAAAAAACACATTTTAACTTCACGAAAGAATACCTTACAGGGGAGAGCAGCCCCCGTTGGCCAGGCAGGATGGGAAGGGTAATGAAAGAGCAGAGCAGACTCCCACATCGGATACCACAGCCGAATAGACAGCGATTGTGTGTGAGGCTGCGCTCCTGCTGCTAAAAATAAAACCTGCACAGAGGCTTTGAGTCCGCATTGAAGCGCTCAGTCATTGAGCAAACAGAAGCACCATTAACACAACCTGTCCACACAACACACCCACTCACAAACCCTGTGGTCAGTCCGCTGGTTCCTGTTTCTGACCCCAGAGAGGCTTTGAAAACAGGAGAGAGGAGATGCAAAGGGGAGGGCGTCACGGAAATCGGCATCTACGAAAATACCCAGCTTGGGTGATTGGCGAAGGAACATGCTTTACCAGCCCTGACATCCTCAAGAGCCCCCCCTGTGCCCTTGCATGAAATTGGCTTTGGCAGGGCTAGACATCTACGAAAAAGGGCGAACGGAGGAAGAAAAGTGATGAAGGCTCCCGAGCAATAAATATTAAAACGGGGAGAGGAAATATGCCCTCCAAATTCTCACTTGGACAGTTTCCATGGCAACAAAAAAAAAGGAAATTGATTAGACTTTTTTTTTTCTCGACAGGGAGAAGGAGTCTGTTTATATGGGAAGGAGCTTGCGAGTAATAAGTCGGAAGATGTATCGCGCAGAGGAAATCTGAAACACTCATGCAAAAGACCGTTCTTTTAGTAAATGATAAAAAAAACAGACCTTAAAGGTTTTTGTTTCGCTTTAAAGTTCTTATGAATGCTTTCGTCTATTGCATTATAGAAACCGAGTTGGGTTTTTCTACCTCAAGTTTTGCATCTGATTTTAGGAATCTGGGGTTGATCTGTGTTTTGAATCATACATTAAACACATTACTAAACTGTCCTTCTGCCATTTGCATTATATTGCAAGCAATTAGATCATTCCTTTCTTCTTCTGGTGCTGAAAAATTAATACATGTCTTTAGTCTAGTCTAGTCTAGATTAGACTGCTGTAATGCCACGTTTTGTGCTTTTTAAAGAAATCTTAAGTTTATTATAATTGCTCATCTTACTAAGAATTCACCTGCTAAAATGCTGGCAAAATCCAAGATCAAAACACATGTTACTCCTGTACTGGCATCACCACACTTGCTCACCAGCATATAAGATGTAAATGGTCTGGCACCTGATTCGTTGTTATTACTCATATGATAGACACATGCATCCCAGCAGCAAAACCTCATATTTGAACCTGTGACCGTCGAGCTGCATTGTGTCACATTACTGTCCTGTTTAAACAAAATACTCAGCAGTTATAGGACAAAAGGGGAATTAAGATGAGCTGATGAGTCAAAGGATAAAGATCAATAGGAGGGAGGGGCTGCCTTTTCTTGTAGGGGCTCCAAACTGTGAACTTCCTTTACCCCCTTTCATTAAAGCATTGCTGCTTTGCGGCGCTGGGTTCAGTTCCAGACCTGGGGTGCTGTCTGTGTGGAGTTTGTATTTTCTCCCCGTGTCTGTGTGGGTTTCCTCTGTGTGCCTCCATTGCCTCCCACGG